AACAAATTACACTTCACTCATGAACGGATTCGGAAAGTTTCAATATATTTGTTTCTATTACGTATGTTTCTTCGACTTTCCATCATATACATATTTTACTTACATAGAACCTTTGGCAGGTGTTCGCCTCCAATTTTCTTCGTTTTCACATATGTTGTAGTACTCGATAAACTAAGCGATATGTATTTTTTTCGAAAATTGTGGTACTAAACACCTATTTAATTATTTCACATATAACAGTGGTATCTTTTACAATGAAACCAGCTGGAAAAATTTCCTCACAATGAGAGATCAAAAATGTGGTTTTTTCAAATTGTCCAATAATTTTTATGGGGGTGAACTACCCCAAAATTATTTTTCATTATATACCAATCAGAATGATTAGTTCCCGAATTTGACTATTGTCCAAGCAGTCTGTCTTGGGGCACCGACCGAGTCGTCACGGGCTGGCTGGTGCTCCCGTTCTATCTGTTGATAATTTTTCTAGCTGTGTTTCGACACGGTATGGAAAGTTTTCGCCCGTGTAGTTGCCTAGCTTGCGGATGCATGAGCGAAAGGTGGACGGCCAAAGGTAACGTAGGTTAGTTCTCGGATTTTTCGTTATCGGTGTCAAGTTAAGAAGAATACCTCACAGTATAAAATTAGAAGTTGCTGTGGAGTGTTTTTGTCGACTCACATGTCTTTATCTATAGAATGAAGGCTGACTCATAGTGAATAATCGTTCAGTGTTGTTTTAAACGTGGTAGAGTTAGAACGTGTAATTTCATTAGTTTCATCTTTTCTACAGTGAAACATAACCAGTTATCTAGTTTGAAACACGGCATTAAATTCGTTGAATGTAATAAAACTTCTGTTATTTCTGTTCCAAACCATGAATATTTTGGATAGTGAGGTTAAGAACGTAGAGCAGCAACTGGCAGATAATTCCCAAAAAATATTAATGCGCGGTGTAGATTATTTCAATGGCGTGGATATTTTAGAAGAAGATACTTTAGACTTTGAAGAGCCATATAAAGACTGGGAGTCTTTGGATGTGGAAGACACACATGCAGAATGGACCCCTAAACTTGGTTTACAGCAGATGAACCTGCTTGTACGAAAGATGATGAATATATTGGCTTCGATTATAAGCAAAGAGCAGTAGAATTTTGCAGACATTCCTTCGTGTCATAGTCTGAAGCCCGTATTCGGAACTCGCTTTTAGTGCTAATAGCGCGCTTTTAAATTTTTTCTTAGTGACTTTTAACTACAAGCAACTCTGTTAGTAACTTTAAGAGCGAGTTGTGAATACGGGCTTAAAAGTATAACGGAATCAAAAATGTCGCACATACCTCTTCGAAATAAGAAATCGGTATACATCAAGGGGCTGAACTTTTACGGTCGTGCCTTTTGGTATAACATGAGAATAATATTTTTCCCAGCAATTGTTACTTGCCATACAACTTCTGGATAATGTCCAGTCCAAGAGTCTATGAATAACACACTTGTGGGTCCTACGTTTGGAAAGAAAACGTGCTCCAGCCAGCTTCGAAAACGTTCTATGGTCAAAATTATTCGTATGTTAAAATTAATAAACGGAATAAATATGTGGTTGAAGTGCTTCAAGTACGGAACGTTCAAATCAACAAGATTTTTTACAAATTTATTGTAAACTTAATTGAAAATTTCACTTCCGGTATATTCACATATACTCACTACTAGTAGCGGATGGTTTCAAAATAGTAACTGGCGTTCGATTCGAACTTATATTTTTTTCAGGTTTAGCCTCGAGCCGCAGCCTCCTCTCTTTAAAAAGTACTAAAATATTGGTTCTTTTTCAAAATATCAATTTATACAAGGATATGTTTAGAAAAATATTTTTACACAAAATAGAGTTGAAAAAAATTGTTTCGTTGATTTGAACATTCAGAACTTCAAGTACATGAATAAATACTTTTATTACTCAAAATTCTGAAAAATAAACATATTTACTTGACCAGATTTTTTGTAGCTAGCAAGGCGTTCCAAGTTTTGATGCAGCTAGAAAAGCGTTGATTGACCGAAAAATGGTTACTTCCACAATGGGCCCAAACTTTCCATTTTGTTCTTTTAATACAAGAAAAAGTGGAAATAGAAGCTTTCCATCTACAGAAATCATGGGCTGAATAATATAGCTATGGGTTGTAGAAGAAATAGATTGGGCTAGACATTCCACTTGTCGTGTATCTTCAATTACTAATGTTCGTCCTGAATGCATCTCTAACTGGAATCCACTTTGATCCGAGTTATAAACATTCTTCCTCTCATTTTGAGTGATGTGCGGTTTCACTTGATTCGTAAACTTCTCCGTTTACTATCAAAGCTTCCTTATCTTCTAACGTTTTTATGATGATAAATTTATTAACTTTTCTTGGTGTTATTTGGTGAGTTTTTTTTAAACCGCCACACCTACCAGTTCAATGCTTTAAATCATGAATCTTCGAAACCAAGAATTTTTTTAGCATGCAGAGCCCATTTTTTAGGTCTATATCATGGACTATTATATCATCATCAATTGAACTTTTAAAATTGTTCAACGTGTAGTCTGCAATACGATGTAAATTTTCCATATAAGGTACTTACCTCCTTTATTTACTTGTCCTGCCCATCGCCTCAATTGACGTTCTGATGTTACTTGTTTGAATCGATGTTTAACGACACTTATTGGACGATTACTTTTTGCTGTGGAGCTTCTCCAAAATTCTACTGCTCTATGCTTATAATCGAAGGCAATATATTCGTCATCTTTTTTACAAGCAGGTTCATCTGCTGTAAACCAAGCTTAGGGGTCCATTCTGCATGTGTGTCTTCCACATCCGAAGACTCCCAGTCTTTATATAGCTCTTTAAAGTCTAAAGTATCTTCTTCTAAAATCTCCACGCCATTGAAATCATCTACACCGCGCATTAATATTTTTTGGAAATGATCTGCCAGTTTCTGTTCTACGTCATTAACCTCACTATACGGAATATTCATGATTTGGAACACAAATAACCAGTTAGCTGTGGCGCTCCCTTTTGCGAGCGCGCACCTATATATGTTGCCGAAATCGAGCGATGACGAGTATACTCGTCAATCACAGTTAACTGGATAACAAAAGTTTTATTACATTCAACGGATTTATTGCCAGGGTGTACTTCCGAAAAGCACATACCGCCGATCGATCTGAAATTTGGTTTAATAACGTATTTTGACCTTCTAATCACGAATATCGTATCGAAAATTGGCGCAAACGCCATTTTGAGTATGAAAATCAAAGAAGAACCTCTTTTCGTTCGGTGTGCATAATCGCGCATTCCTAACCGATTTAGACTATTTTAGCATTCCCCAGAAAGGGTATGTGTGTGTGTACAGCAGAGATTAGGAACTGTGGGGCTGTGGGGTAGGTACGTTCTTTTCAGGTAAACTTTTCTTCGTTTATTATACTTTGCGTCTCTATACGGTATCATCGATCGGTTCTATTACAATCGGTGTGATTCAAGATATCGGAGGAATTGACTTGAGGATGTGGAAGCCAACAACTTCCTGCTACGGATGATGCGAGATTTGAGATTGCGGAAGCCAACACTTCCTGCTACGGATGATGCGAGAGCGATCACTCTCTGCTAATTTTGTCCAGGGTAGCTAAACGCTGCGCTACTGGACTAAGTTGCTGAAACGAAATAGAATCACAGAGTCCTCAACGAACGGTGTGATCCTACAAAAAATGGTTCTCTCTCGGATGAGAGAAGCTGGATATTAGATGCAGTATTCCGGATGCAGGATACAAAATTATATGTTGATGGCGAAGAAGACGAAGAAGACCACAATCCGCACCATCGACGGATTAATTATTTACCCGGTCCTACGTTTTTTACATGCGAGTTGCCTTGGCCACCTAGTGGCGCGGCAGCGAACTAGTGCTCGCTCGGATACCCCGTGTCTGGTTAGGGACTCTTGTCACAAAGTCAACTACGTTTAAAATAACACTGAACGATTATTCACTATTAATCAGCCTTCATTCTATAGATAAGGACGTGTGAGTCGACAAAAACACTCCGCAGCAACTTCTAATTCTATACATATAAAAATAGTACAACTCCATAGTGACAAGATTTGAATTTTTACGATGAAATTTTTTTTTCGTAGGCAACATGTTTAAGGGTTAATACCCCCTAAATATGCACCTTTAAGGTAATTCTGCTGCTACGCAGGGGTCAAGAGCCCTAGCGACTATATGTTGAAAATTAAGCACCTAGAATATTATAGTAATTAGTTGCATAAATAATTCCGATTTTTTAATAATGTGCCTTAATTATAATATCCCGACTTTTGTTACAAAACTAATTTTAAATCCTCGCTTGAATCAATTCATATTATAGCTATATCGCATAATGTATTGTTGCCAAGCTTTTGCCCCATGTTCAGAGCGACGTAATTCCAAGCGAGCCGCTCCTTCCCAACTTATTATCGTCTCGATAATGTTATTTATCGCTTGAGATGTCCGGTAACTCTACTTCTTTTTTTTATCGGACATGATCTGTAACGTCTAACAAACAGGAGATGCTTTTTATATTTCCGCTATCTTTGATCTAAGTATATAAATTATTAACGAATAAATGCCACTGATTGCTCCAGTCATAAGGTCCCGTATAAAAATGTCGATTTTCAACAATTAATTATTCTCTCAAATGACCGGTAAACGGGCTTGACATTTTCTTGACATTTAATTGAATACTTAAACTTTTATATATAAAAAATTGAGGTGCAACAGTTTAATTTACGTAGACAGCAGAACTACCTTAACGAAAGTAAGTCGAAACTTTGTCAGCTCAATGTCTATAGGTACTCAAATTACATTTGAAATAAATGCTAATGTAAGGCGTCTTATAAACGTGTCAACGTATGTCATATAAGTTCCTTCATTCTACGGAAACATACCAACAATAAATTGCACTTACGGATGGTTAACCCTTAGAAAATGATTTTTCGTGAAAATGCAAAAGCACTTTATTTAATTATCGCGACTAACATATTTTTCCGAATTTTTTGGCTTGAATTTGCTTTTGTTTAGCGATTTTTTTATAATGAAAAATAACTTTGGGGTTGTTCAGACCCATAAAAGTTATTCGACAAATTTGAGAAAATCACATTTTTGATCCCTCATTGTGAGGAAATTTTTTCAGTTGGTTTCATTGTGAAAGATATCGCTGTTATATGTGAAATAATTAAATAGGTGTTTAGTACCACAATTTTCGGGGGCAGTTTTCACTCTCAAAAACCTGATTTGGGCCGATAAGAAAAAATACGTGTCGCTTAGTTTATTAAGTACTACACATTATATGTGAAAACGAAGAAAATCGGAGGCGGACACCTACGAAAGGTTCTTTGTTAGTTACATCTATCTTCATTAATATTCCAATTAATAAATTCGTGAAACAGTTGATTACTTTACAAAAATACTCGAGTTAGACTCAAATCTTTTGAAAAAAAGATGATTGCGTTTTGTAATACTTTTGTAATACTTTTGTCCGATCATTCTTTTCAATAACAATATAAATAGACGTTCCATCTATAAATCTATTGTCTTCGTCCTTCTAATTTTACCTGTGAATAGTAGCTCAGCTGCAAATAACGAAGTGTCCAAATCATGTTAGTTAGGTGGAACATGGCAACGAACTTCTAAGGGAGCAGCACATAAGGGATGATGCAGCTCGATTGAACTAAAACCATAAATTAGTACTTGCACGATAATTAGAGTCAATACCATCGCACGTTGCTACTCCTTCTCCTATATGTATGCCCTTTTATTGAATCGTATTAAACGTTAATGTGCTGCATAAATTCTCATTGTTTGTAATAATTGTGATCACTAAACGGTAACAAAAAGCATGCTAGTTATTATTCGACTAACAATGATATTCGATAGAAATTAATAGTTACCTTCAATAGTTACTTGCACTATTGCGGTCTAATAATGGTTCAAAGCACATTATACAAGATTAAAAATTATTTTGACACCATTTTCGCAATAATTAACCAAATATTGAAAGAATAATGCGATCCGAAAATTTTCGAGTTTTTCAAATTTGCCAAAAAAATTTCGCCTCGTATTACTCTTTCAGTTTGTGGTTAATTGTTGCGAAATTAGTGTCAAAATTATTGTTAACTTGCAAAATATGCACTGAACGTTACTTTGAAAAAGAATCTTTTCCAAAATCCTGTTATATACGATATTCATTGATATTTTATTCGTATGGTAATGAGAGTTCCGTAATCCGAAAGAAACGTGTATCGATTATTATATAAAATATTTTTACATAAACATGCAGCTAATTATTCTGAAATTTGATTCAAGAAATAAATGATAGTCTATTATACACTTCATATAAAAAGTAACTATTATCTATTTAATTAGGGTTACCGTAGAAATATGTACCTTCAACGTCTGGAAAAATTTGAGACCGGGTACAATCTGTATTACTCTGAAATTTATAAATGACTTATGCACAACATTTGATAATAGTTAACTTAAATCGCTACTAATGTCTAGTAACAATATTCTCTTATTATAACTACATTAGACTTTACTAATCGCTGCAACTTGTTTTAAATTTACCTTGTATTCTAAATACACTAGCAATCTTTTTTGATTGTATACCTGTAGCTACTTACAAAAATAAATAGCAGAATAAAAGTGGGAAGAAAAGTGAATTATGTTCAAATTATTAAATAAAATATTATGCAAACACCAAGATCTTACTGTGCGGAAATCATCAATAGTAACCAGAAATTATGAGAGAAACGACAAGTGACTGCGGATGGAGTGCAGTCACATGGGAGGAGGGCACTTAATGACTCTTCTGTGAAAGTACCCCCCCCCCCCCCCCACCCCC